ATACACACAGTTGCAAATTTGCTTCTTGTGTACTCCTGACCCATCATAAACCTATCAAATCGCTTGTACCACTGCCTCGGAGATTGTTTCAAACCATAAAGCGATCTTTTCAGTTTACAAACCCAAACTTCCTTCCCAATACTCCTAAATCCTTCTGGCTGAGTCATTAGATTTCCTCTTCCAAATCACCGTGTAGAAAAGCGGTTTTCACATCAAGTTGAACAAGTTCAAGATTCATCTGAGCAACCAAGGCCAACAAAATTCTAATGGAAGAATGCTTACAACTGGAGAAAATACCTCATTGAAATCTATTCCTTCCTTCTGAGCGTAGCCTTTCGCCACCAACCTTGCCTTGTATCGGATGTCTTCAAATTCGGAAATCCTTCTTTCTTTGCATATACCCATTGCATCCAATTGCTTCTTATTCTTTGGTAATTGAACAACCTCCCAAGTTTCATTCTTATGGAGAGACTGCATCTCTTCTTTCATGGCTTTCCTCCACTTACCATTTTTGGAACTGCTAGTTACTTCATTATAAGTGGAAGGAACTTCACCATCTTCAATTGGGAGGGCATAGGCCACCGTATCAGCAAAACGAACAGGCTTGCGAATTTCTCGTCTTGGCCTATTAACAGCAATGGATTCTTGTGAGGTTCTTGGGAAGAATCCTCTCTTCATCTCAATGAACTCCTTATCATAGGAGTCTCATTTCCAGCTGGGCTAACTGATGTTGTTTCAAATCCACCTGCTGCAGAGTATGCTCCACCTGTTGCGGAGTACTGAAAACCTTCATCTGACTTCTTGTTTTCTGTTCAACATAGAGACTCATCAAATGTCACATCCCTACTAAACAGTATTTTCTCGAACTTGGACACCAAAGACGGTATCCTTTCACACCTGAGGTAATCCCATAAATACTGCTTTCTTTGCTCTAGGATCAACTTAGATCTTTCACATGATAATAAGCAGTGGACCAAAAACATGTAAAGAGTATAATCAGAAACAGGTTTCTAGACCATTCTTAATCGGCGTCTTGTTCTCAATTGCAGTTGATGGTAGACGATTAAGAGAGACACGCATATATAACTGCCTCAGCCCAAAACTCTTGCCCAACCCAGAATTGGACAACATACATCGAACTTTCTCCAATATAGTTCGATTCATGCGTTCTGCCACCCATTCTGCTTGTGGTGTATTTCTTACTGTAAAGTGACGTACTATTCCTTCATCTTGGCAAACTTTCAAAAACGGATCACTACGATACTCCCACCATTATCTGTACGTAGCTGCTTGATCTTTCTGCCAGTCTGAGTCTCAATCATCTTTTTCCATTTAAGGAAAACACCAAGTACGTTATCTTTAGTTTTTATCACATACACCCAAACTCTTCTGGAAAAATCATCTACAAAAGTGACAAAATGTGCTACCTCCCAAAGATGTTGTTTTGGAGGTCCCCACAATCAGAATGAACATAATCCAAATACCTCTAGTATTATGGATTGCGGTGCCGAATTTCACTCTTGTTGTTTTCCCAGAACACAAGCTCACAGAAGTCCAGCTTACAGGTCTTTGCACCTTTCAATAAGCATTGATTCACCAAACTAAGTAAGGCTTTTTCACCTGCATGCCCCAACGCATATGCCACAGCTTGAGCATTTTGAATCTGCATCCTTCGCACGACTGCAGCTGTCGTTTCAATAACTGTACTACCATTATAGTAATACAAGTTGTTTCTCCTCGTGCCTTTCATTACCACAAGAGCGCCTGAAGAACTTTTAGAATTCCATCTGCATATTCACGTGAAGCCTTTAGATTCCAAGGCTCCCAAAGAGATGAGATTCTTTTTCAACTTCGGTACATACCGAACATCTGTCAGAGTTCTAGTTGAGCATCATGATTCTTCAACCGAATTGAACCTATCCCAGTTGTTTTACAAGCATCATCATTGCCCATATAAACAACCCACCATCAAGTTCTCAAAATTAAAGAACACTCCTTGTGGGGACACATATGATAGGTACAACCTGAATACTATCCACTCATTTGATCCAGAGGTGGATGGTAGGCTAACTAGACAGAAATCAGACTCATCCTCTTCACACTCAACACGTATGCATCAGAAGTAGCTTTGCCCTCTTTTTTTGCAACTTCGGACAATCTTTCTTCCAATGCCCTTTCTCACGACAAAAGGCACATTGATCCTATTGAGTTTTCCCTTTGAACGAGATTTCCTCTTCTCTCCTTTTTACGACTCTGATTTTGACTCCGCCCTCTTGCTACAAGAGCTTCTGCTGACTCATCTCTATTCTCCTTCTGATCTTCTTCCGAATTTCATGATTGGACAGAGCAGAACAAACTTCTTCAAAGGACCATTTTCTTTCCCATGAAGAAGTGTAATACTAAGATAGTCAAACTCATCTGGAGAGAATCCAATTAACAACATAGCCTTATGCTCATCTTTGAATGTTTCATCCAAATTTAACAAATCAGCAATTAATCTGTTAAATGTATCAATATGGCTACGATATTCGTACCTGGTCTAACAGACGAGAAACAGTCTTTTCATCAAATGAAGCGTCTTTGTTACTTCTTTTCAATGTTTTCCGCGCCTTCCATAACTTATTTGCAGACGTCTCTTCATGAATGGATATTTCTGCTCTCTACAAAGACATGAGCGAATCATCCCACAAGCTTTTACGTTCAACCTCACCCAGTCTTTCTCATAGACATCTTTGGTTTTTCCTCCTCCAGAACGATATCTAGATCCTGCTGTACAAGCTATCCATTACCTCAATCGCCACAAGCCAAAATATTTTGGCCATCAAATTTTTCAACATCAATTTTTGCATTTGAAACCGTTACATCTTTACTGGTGCGGATGGTGGTGCGCAAACGGTGCTGCCTCGAACAATGAATCCTCGGACGGTGATGCATTTATGCCTACCAATTGGCTTGGTAACAAAATTCCCATAAACCAAGCTCCACAAATTATTATATTCAATAGCTAACCAACAAATTAACAATAGCCCTAGGTAGTAGTAAGTGCTGAAATGATTAAATACGCACCAGGAAAATTCCCAGGAAACAATGGAGGGGTCACAAAGGTCCCACTAAATCCAGTCTCCTTAGACTTTTATCGTTTTTGACAGAATTTTCCTAGACATGCTATAACCATACAATAGCTTCTCACTGTCCTAAACCTAGGCTCTGATACCAATTGTTATGCAACGGAAACATAAACTCTAACGCTAGCTTATTGAATATAATAATACAAGTAGTAAAGCATAAATAAATTGCCAAAATAATGCAAAAATAAAGAATACAGGAATTAACGAGGGTCGGTATTAAAACCTACGTCTCGGGCGCTGCAAAAGAAAGCTCCACTATCTCCAAACAATATTACAAATATTTGGGCAATACAACAAATACCCAAAACAAAGGGAGATACAACAAAACTTGACTAAAGGGTCCTTAAAGAAAGAACCCTAAACAAAGAAGAAATGGAATTACAACTTGGGATACAATTAACATTGATTTAGGTCCTTATATATAGGTCCCAAAAGTTTCCCACTTTTCAATCCTAATCAATGTGGGACAAACAACCTTTTCTTGGCCTATTACATATAAGTCCCTAAACCTTTCTCCATTATCATTTCTACCCCATGTGATTTTGCTAAAAGCCATTTTTCAACAGAATGTCCTGTTATTGCGAGATTGGGACGTTTCTCCCTGCTCACGCAAACAAGGCTTGAGTTTCCCACTTCGACGACCAAGTTGCAAAGAGCTCGGTCATCCGTTCAATGAGCTTCTCTTGTTCGACAGCAAGTGTGCTAACCTCCTTCTCTAAACTCTCCATTCGATGCTCCATTGCCCCTGGCTCTGATACCATTATTTACGACCTGGGTTTTGGAGATGGACTTGGGATCGAGTGAAGGGGCGAGTTGGTGGTTGAGTGGGTTTGGGTTTCTTCTTTGGTTGACCAATGATGAGTGGGATGATATTGGTAGGATTGTTAAAAGGATCCAATCCCTACTGTTCACAGCTTTTTTGGAGATAAATTTCTATGCCTTGCATTCATTCATTCTCCTCTTTATAGACTCTAATACAACTGACTCAACTACTCCCACTTGCTAAAAACTAGGACTTGAACAAGGAAAGTACAAGAGACTCATGCATAAAATAAGGCTTCGTAACAGTATGTATAATTGTTTTTAAAGAACATATTATATCGTACAAAGAATTTGAGTTTTGGTTAAAATCCCCATCTTCTTACAAAAAATGCGTTATTATTAATGTATTCTTGTATATATTACAGACAAACTTCAATAAAAACATAATGCAACAATGTGAAATGTAACCAGCTGAATATATATTTACCTGAAACTCAACTGTAATTCTCTCAACTTATCAAGATCAAGATCTATTTTTTAATAATATTTTTACTCGTCAATCGATCGATCACAAATATGTATTTACTCCTATAAAAACTCATATTCAAAGAGGATTTTGATCCTGCAACTACTACTTAATCAAGCAAGACGGTGTGGTTGAACAAATAAACAACATGAATCAAAAGATGGCAATGCAAAAGTTTCTATTACTCTTATAAAAGTTAATAAATAAACAACATAACTTAAAATATCAATAATGCTATCTTTTCAAAGTTAGGATCTCAATCGATGTGATTGTTGATGTGTCAATATCATATAAAATATATAATTTTTTGGTATATTATTGTGTTTCTTATAATTAATAGAGTGTGACACATTGATAACTATATCAATTAAGATCCCAACTTTATATAGCTAGTATTACTCTTAAAATATGTATGGTGAGACAAAAGTGTTATATATAATTTACACAATATATATCCATAGAACCTGTAGAATCAAAGCAAAACAGCCATTTACACAACAGAAAAGACAACACAGAGAAAGAATCAGAATATATTGATGAACAAAGAAAAGGGAGTACTCAGCCTATCTTCATCCATCAATCTACTAATTCATCTGATCCATATAATGATCAATTGATCTCTTTCTTTCCTTAATCTTACCCTTTGGACTATGTGGAAGACTACCAGCTCTCTGAGGCATCCTAATTCCATAAACTGGCTCATCAATTCCGTATTTACTATGACTCCCAATTCCTAAAAGACTCCTATTTGTTGAGTTACTTCTTGTGTAGAACGGATGTTGGCCATGCCCCATCTGCGATGGCCTCAGGAAATCCGCCTGTGTCAACGACGCAAACTGAGACCTGTGACCCTGGTAACCGTGCGCGTATGGCGGCTGCTGCTGTTGCTGCTGCTGATGGTTCGCATAAAAATGATGTGGAAGTTGGTGGAAATGGTTGCTATTCACGCCATGGAAACCGCTACCGCTGACACCGCCTCCAAAACCACACAGACTTGGCGAGCTTTGAACCCTGTGCATCGGAAGTCCACTGCTCTGGTAACACTCCATGTTCAAGATGAGGTCGGGAGGGAAAGAATCGATGGTGATGCTCTCCGGGGAGGTGGATTTCGGGGACGAACATGCGGAGGAAATGCCGAAGGGAGAACGGGTGGCATTGATTGGAGGGAGCTTCCAGTGACCGGTTGTACGGACAAGGCCGTTGATGGCATCGATGTAGCGTTGTTCGATGGCATGGGGATCCATGGACCCGGCTTGGTTCTCGAGTATGACAGGATTTGAGGGGAAGAGAAAGGTTCGCAGCTTGGGATTGCCTTCAGTATCTTGACGATCGTATTCCTCGAGCATATGCCTGAGATCTTCATCAGTTCGGACGGATACAAGGGATTCGAAATCCTCAGGAATCAGCTGGTATTTCAGAACCATGTCTCCTTCATACATTGTGCCAATCTTCTTCATTAACTCTGCAATCTCATGAAATAAAGCTGATTAAAAATTAAAAAAGTCTATACAACTTATCAAATCAATTGATTAGTTTTCAACATTTACAACATCTTCCAACCAATATTAAACTCATTGGCAAGATATTCCTTCTGTTTTCTAAAATGATGAAAACTATATCTATTTCCTCATTAAAACCACTAGAATACATGCACCAATATCAAGAATTCTGTTAAACCCAATATAATTCACACACATTCACATCATTTCTCACATAGTTTTCATATATTCATAGAACAACAGTCCCACCTAATGTCCCACCACCTTAGGACCACCAATTATCAAACACACAAATACATTCGAAAAGAAAAAAATTTATAAAACACTGGACGTATATGATATTGACTCGATAACATTATTATAACATCAACTGATATAACCAATCAAAACGTGTCATGTTTTACCATTTCTTTGATGAATATCACTATTACTACATTTCGAATACTTAACCCCATTATATATGTTACTAAAATGATACGTTGTCTGCATTAACAATGTTACATTCTCGGCAACCTTAAAGGAATGAATGAATGGATCCGGTAACATATATAGAATTCCATTATCCTAAAATATAAAGATTGTAAATATTTACTGGAGAAATTGATTTCACGAGGCACAGCAATGACACGTGTCTCGCCACCCATGTACTTTAGGCTACCATCAACGGCTCTGGGCAATATTTTCCCACCATGGCTACACAAAAACTTCACCCTGTTCCTCGGAGAAGACGAAGACAAGTTTTCATCACCTGCACCACTGCCATCGCCAGCGCCACCACCACCGTCACTGGCCATAGATGACCAAGTTTACTATACAAAAAAGAGTCGGTTTGGATGAATATAATATAATCGAATGCAATGAAATAAAAGAATGGTTGAATGTGAAAAAAAAAGGAAGAGATTATTAGTGGCAAAAAGCTAAAAATAGCAAAGGGAAAGAAGGAGACCACAGGTTGGAGGTTGGCTGTTGGCTATTTCTTGGGGTCACTGTTTTCCTGTTTTATTTCTTTATTTTTTTGCACGGAATTTTGAAGATTCAGAGTCAGACACTTGTGCCGATTTGTATTGCGGATATCCATGCAAATATATTGCGAATATTTGAGAAAGATTCATTTACTAATATAACCTTTAAAAAAAATTATATCTGCTAATATCTACATTTACTAATATAACCTTTAGAGGGCGTGCGTTTAATTCAGGAATGTTGTATTACTAAAAATGTGCGTTTGATTAAGAGAATGTTAGATTAATGGAAAGTTAAATTACCTTGAAAATTCTTGGGAATCTTTAGAAAGATGAGTTTGGTTAGTTGGAATAAATTGGTGGATATGTTATATTAATATGTTTGGTTGAGAGGAATAAATTGGTGGGTATGTTATTTAAATTATTAAATTGTCCTCTTTTTAAATATTAATATAATATTATTTTTATTATTAATTTTTGAATAATTCTTCTAACCCCCAACATTTTAGATTTAGCTACAACACCACAGTTTATATAAAATTTTAATTTATAACAAAATAACCCCCACCACCCCTACCACTGCCAACCACGGCCGTCCACTGCAGGAAAGTCGTTAGAGTCGTTAAAAATGGCCGAGAGTTGGTGGGAGGCTCCGATATGACCGTTTCTGGCCATATTGATGGCCAAAAATGGTCATATCAGAGTAGATTTGGCCAGAAATGGCTAGAATAGATATGGTCATTTCCAGCAAGATCTGCTCTGATATGACCGTTTTCGGCCATCAATATGGCTAGAAATGGCCATATCAGAGTCTCCTGGAGCCTCCTAGCGACTCTCGATCATTTTTAGCGACTTCGATGACTTTCCGGTGGCGGTCGACAATGGTTGGCCCGCTGTTGACGTTGGTGGCTAGGTGGCGGTGGTGGTCTGCAATTTGTTTTAAATATAAGGGCATTATTATCCAAAAACTTAATTAAACAATTAAGATTGTAATGGTGGATTAATGTAAATTGATTTTAAAACAAAGGCATTATTGTCCAAAATTTTTATTAATAAGGGATAGAATTTTAACAAAAATAAGATTACTTTGGTAATCTTACAATATCTAAGAAGATGTAGGTAATCAGATTATCTCCAATATTACCAACAGTAACTACTACTGGTATTGGAAGATTACCAGAATCTCATATTATATTACTTGACAACCAAACATGGTAATCAAGTAATATAAGATGACATAACCCTAGTAATCTTATATAACCTCCAACCAAATGCTCCCGAAATGTTATATTAATGAGAAGACATGTTACTTTGAAGATTATTGAGATTGTTATATAAAATGTGTTTAATTAGATTGGAATACATTTGTGGGTATATTATATTAATATGATTGGTTGGAAGGAAGATTATTGAATTGCCCTTCTTTTTTAATATTAATAATATATTATTATTTAGATTATTTTTTAACCGCGTACATTTGAGAATTTAGCTAAAACATCTCACAATAAAAGTTTAGAAATTAACAAAAACACCCTAATCACCCAAGAGGACAGTCGGTCGTCAACTACCATCGCCAATCGTTGGAAGATGCATGACCGACTAGATCTGATCATTGACGACGACCATATCCATGACCAAATCAGCGCATGACTGGCCAAATCCAGTCGGTCGTGCGCCGTTTCGACGACGTCCACCAGTGGCTAATGGTGGTGGCTAATGGTGGTGGCTAGTGGTCGATGGTGGTGGTTGGCGACGGGCGATGGTGACCAGGTTTGGCATTCTTGTAAATTGTTTTCAATACAAGGGCATTTGTAACAACTTCTTTCTTAACTAATATACTTAAAAATTATATAAAGATAGAATAATGCTAACCTTACTCACTCTCCCTACTCCTCTTACTCACCTTTGTTAAAAATCTACTTTTTCATCTTTTTAACAAAGGTGAATAAAAGAAGTGAGTAGAGGGAGTGAGTAAGGCTAACATTACTCATAAAGATAATACATATAAGTATAAATGAAAAGTAAATGGGCCCCAAAAATTTCCTCTTTATTTAACATACAATTCTTTACATAATACAAAATAGCATATACAAAAGCTTTAGCAACGGTGGACAGTGGTGCCATTTCTCTCCGCTTCTCGACGTCCATCCGACCACTTCTCACCTATTTCTTGCGAAACATGGAAAAATAACGGGGTGAGCACAAAATTGCTTAGTAAGTAAATCCTCTACTCTTTCATCCCCATGACTTTCTCTTAAACTCTTCCCTTACTTTATTCTTTTTCTTTTTCTTTCTCTCTTTATTCTTTCTCTTTTCTTTCACTGTTTCTAGTTCCCTCTGTTCTTTTCTTTCTTTCTTATTCCCTTTGTTCTTTCTTTCTTTCTGTTTTTTCTTTCTTTTTGTTTTTTCTTTCTTTCTCACTAACCATGAGGGAAGTCATGGTAACATGCATGAATGAGATGCACATGCACTAATGCAAGGAAATGCATTTTCTCTCTTCTTTTTCTATTTCTATTTCTTATTCTGTTTCTTTTCTTTCTTGCTCAAGCTTTTTCATTCTTTCTCGTTCTTTCTTCTTCTTTTTCTTCTTCTTTCTTATTCTTCTTCTTTCTTTATTTTCTTATTCTTTGCCGATTGGACTCAGTTGATGCATGGATTCGGAACCCTAGCCATGTGAGTGAGTACAATCCTCATCTACATGCACTCTTGTGGATTGTACAAATTCTTCTTCTTCTTAGGCCACTCAAGTAAGGTGGCGTGCATGTAGGAAATTCTTCTTGATACAGCCCTCATCCATAGAGATGGCAATGGGCCCGAGATTTTTGGGTACCCGGCCCGGCCCGGCCCGAAAAGGCTGGGATTTACCCGTAGGTGACGGGCTTGGTCTTGGGCCTGGGCTTGATTTCAAGGCCCGACCACGGGTACGGGCCGGGTATGGGTATATCTTCAGGCCCGGCCCGGCCCACAAATTGTACTGTCTATTTTACTAATTTACCCTCATACTATATGTTTAATTACAGTATTATCCTAAGTATATATATCTAATTTTCCCAAACCCTAACCTCTAACCTCTTTCTCATCCCATTCCCTAACTCTCCCCACGCCCCACCTGNTGGTTACTGTTTTTGCAGTAGCTTTCAGCTGCATTTGGTGTTTTTCAGTATTGAGTTTGCAACTGGTAGTGCAGATTTCTAATCAGATTTGGTGAACCTGATTTTTCGATGGTGCCAACTTGAATTCTAGTTACTGATTTTGCAGTAACTTTCTGCAGCAACTAGTGTTTTTTAGTATTGGGTTTGCAACTAGTAGTGCAGATTTCTAATCAAATTTGGTGAACCTGATTTCTTTTGTGAATTTTTTTTTTATATACTGAAACTGTTGACTGATGATTTTTGATGATTGCCACTGATAATGCATGTTGGTGAAGTGAATGTTGATGAAAGTTTGGTGAAATTGATAGTGAATGATTCTAATTCTGTTGGCTGATAAGTTCTTATGGTTGAAAATGTTAATGAATGTTGATGAAGTGAAGTGAATGTTGGTGAAGTGAATGTTGATGAAGCTTGGTAGTGCAAGATGAATGTGTTGTGAATCTGGCAGTAAAGAATCAATGTTGTGCTGCTAGTTGTGCTGCTACGTTGTGAAGTTGGCAGTACAGAGTTAGAATATGTTGTGAATATGTTGTGAATTTGGCAGTACAGGATCATAATCAGAATTAAGTTGATTAAGCTGATTAAGCTTGGTAGTGCAGGATCAGAATCATAATTAAGTTGATTAAGCTGACATTTTAGAATCAGAGTTAAGCTGCTGTATTGTGAATTAGAGTTGATAGTGAAGAATCAGAATTGAACTATTGAGTTGTCGATTTTGCTAATGACTGAAACTGGGAGTGAAGACCCTAAACCAGGTTTGGTTTGAGGGGAGATGTTGATATAAGAGGATGAAAGTGTAAAATTGTTAAGTGTTTGGATGTTTTTGATAATAAGCCAAGTGTAGAGATGGCAATGGGCCCGAGATTTTTGGGTACCCGGCCCGGCCCGGCCCGGCCCGAAAAGGCTGGGCTTTACCCGTAGGTGACGGGCTTGGTCTTGGGCCTGGGCTTGATTTCAAGGCCCGACCACGGGTACGGGCCGGGTATGGGTATATCTTCAGGCCCGGCCGGCAAATTGTACTGTCTATTTTACTAATTTACCCTTATACTATATGTTTAATTACAGTATTATCCTAAGTATATATATCTAATTTTCCCAAACCCTAACCTCTAACCTCTTTCTCATCCCATTCCCTAACTCTCCCCACGCCCCACTTGCTGCCCTTCCTACATATCTCTCTCTCGGTCTCTCCATTTGCGATTCAGCCAATTCTGCAATCTGTCGCAGTGCCGCCTGCGTAGATAAAAACTCCTCCGTGCTACCTTCCAGCATCACCTCCGAAGAGTCCTCCGAAAAACTCTAAACCCAGGTTGGTTCTCAGTCTTCTCTTCCATTTACTAGCTTCAATACTACAAAACAAACATGGGTTTCAAGCATAAATACTTGATAATGGCTATTTTTTAATGATTTATTTTTCATTTTTTTGGCTTCAGCTCACTGTTAAGGCCTGCTTGTTTCTTGAAGTTCTTAGTGCTAGAATTGTTATTTGTTTGAAATTTTGCAAAACAAAGTTGTGAACGAAGTTTAATGAAGTGGGTGATAACTTGGTTGTTAGATGTTATTTATTGTTTGAATCATTGTTTGCTGTCAATGGTTTGATTATTTGATTTGAATTTTCGAACACAGGTTTGATTATTTCTGTTTGAATTTTTAGACTGGGTTAGTGTTTCTGGGTTCGGC